CAGTGGCCGGGAGCAGCCACTGCACTCCAGTCTGGGTGACAGAGTGAGACTCCAACTCAAAAAATAAATAAATAAATAAGAAAAAAAACTACAGCCTCCTCTCCCATCCCCCTACAAACCCTATCGCTATTCATTTGAAAAAGTTAGTGCATGTTACTGGTTGTTTTTCCCTTTGAATTCTCCTCATATCCTGGTTGATTTTGATTACTTGGGGGGCATGAGAAACACTACTGTGGTTCTAAGAGTTACAGTTACACAAAATGGACTCAGCCACAGTGTCCTAGCCCTACATCCCTTACACCCTGTTATCCTTCCCCCTTCTTTCCACTCTAAGCCCACCTGCCCCCTGTAGGTAACCTATCTCGTTAGTTCTGGCTAATTTTGTACAAACAAGCAGATACAAGTCTTTCTTATATTCCTTTCTTTCTAACACGAAAGTTGGCACATTATACTTCTTGCACTTTGCTTTTTGCACTTAGCACATTCTGTGAATAACTCCTTAACAAGTCATAGAGAAAAACAATTCATTTTGTACAGCTCAATACTACTCTACCATGCAGTATGCCATGGTTGATCCTGCCGCTGTCTCATATACAGACATTTACCTAAGTTGCTCCTAGCATTTGCCATCACAGTGCTGCAATAAATAATCTTGTGCATATGTATTTTGGTACTGCTGGAAGTGGGTCTTCAAAGGAAATTCCCAGAAGTGGAATGGCTGGGGTCGAGGAGTAGGAGCTTTTCTAGTTTTGTTAAGTACTGAAGGATCCATCAGTCTGCATTCCCACCAATGTGATGGCAGTTCCTGTTCCCCTACAGCCCTGCTTAATACAATGTGTTGTCACTTTTTTCACCTGAATCTGAGAGGTGACCAATGGTGTCTCAGTATTAATTTCATTTCTCTAATCATGAGTTTGAACATTTCCTTTTAAGGGCCAAAAATTTTTTTTGAGTCAGTCTCATTCTGTTGCCTATGTTGGAGTGCAGCAGCATGCTCACAGCTACCACAGCCTCGACCTGCTAGGCTCAGGCGATCCTTCTGTCTCAGTCTTTCAAGTAGTTGGAACTACAGGCACGTGTCACCACACCCAGCTAAATTTTTGATTTATTATAGAGATGACATCTTGTCAAGTTACCCAGGCTGATCTCGAACCCATGGGTTCAGGCAATCCTCTTACCTCAGCCCCCAAAGTGCTGGGATTATAGGCATGAGCCACCACCACCATAGCCTTTTAAGGGACATTTTTATATCTTTTTCAGTTGGAGTCTCACTCTGTCACCCAGACTGGAGTGCAGTGGCCGCTCCCGGCCACCGCAACCTCAACCTGCTGGGCTCCAGCGATCCTTCCGCCTCTCAGCCTTCCGGAATTACAGGCGTGCGCTACCACGCCCGGCTCATTTTTTGATTTATTGTAGATATGAAGCCTCGCCAAGTTGCCCAGGCGGGTCTTGAGCCCTCAGGCTCAGGCAATTCACTCGTGGCCTCCCAAAGTGCTGGGATTATAGGCTGAGCCACCAAGCCCAGCCCACGTTTTCTTTTAATACTTGTATGATTTCATTTTCTTGGATCCTGGATCCATCTGTAGTTCATTCTTGCATATGTGTGAAGTATAGATCTAATTCAACTGGCTTTCCAATTTGTTCAGCACCATTTATTACAAAGCCCATGTCCCCTGTAATTTGAGATGCTACCCTAACTTCTCACTCTCCACCCCCAGGAGACCACAGGGAACATGTGACCCAAGAGCATGACAGACTAAAAAAGATTGAGACCAGATGCAGTAGCTAATGCCTGCAACCCCAGCACCTTGGGAGGCTGAGGCAGGAGGATTGCTTCAGGCCAGGAGTTCAAGACCAACCTGGGCAATGGAGTGAGACCTTGTTTCTCCAAAATATCCAAAATTGAACAGGGAGTGGTGGCGTACACCTGTAGTCTTAGCTACTCAGAAGGCTGAGGCAGGACGATAGCTTGAGTCCAGAAGTCCAAGACTAGACAACAGAGGGAGACCTTGTCTTCAAAAATAAATAAATATGCACATAACAACACAAAGGGTAGCTGGCTCACAACCAAGGGAGAAGGCCAGCTAGAAGCCTAAACTTCACCTACACGTAGCCTACTTATGTAGCAAACCCTCATTTGTACCCCATGACTCTAAAATAAATAAAAAACAAATACTAAAACGGTTAACTGAGCTACTGAGATTCTATTTAAGAATTGAAGTAAAAAAACAACTGTGAGAATAAGACTGAAAGATTCAACGGAGAGAAAGGGCTGTGGAGGTCATGATGTGATGTGAAAGAAAAACAGTAAACCAACTAAGATGGACAGTGGCCAAGCAAACAGACAGCTCCCAAGACAGGAACAGAAGGATTTTCCCTGGAACTACCTCGGCTCACCTGTCCTGTTGCAACAAATCCTCCCACCAAAAATAGTCCACCCGCAACAAGCTTCTGAAATCCCGAGATGTGATCAATGAAATATATAGCCAAGAAAAATTCTCAGCAAGTTAAAAAGATTTATTGCTATTCCAGTCTTCAAATGAGTCCAGAAACAGGACTGGTCTGTGGTTCGGAGAATGGTCATGGCATGACAGGGTAGCAATCCAGGCAGCTTGCCATCGAGTCCATCTCTCTCCTTGGACCCCTGCTCCACCAAGCAGCACTGATGGGGCTGCCTCTCCCACACCTGCCCCATTTACCCCACAAGGCGCCAGGGCTGGGGTTGGTGGCCTCATGACCCCACAGCCCCAAGCTGAGAGGTCACCTGTACCTCCCTTGGAATGGGCAGTCTTCCCCTAGGGCAGACACTACGGAGTTAGCCCTGTGCAAGGAGGAATGGTGCGAGAAGCTGTCCTGAAAGGACAAGGCATGCCCAGATTTAGATCGGGGGGCTGCACACTGGCCACCTACAAGCCAGATATCCCACTGACACACCTGCCAGGCCCCTTCGGCTTGCACAATGTTAAAAAAAGAATAAGAAAACTAGCTGCCAATATTTTAAAATTGTAAGATTTCATATAAAATCTGGATTTTGGTTTCTCTAGGAGAAAAAAATGGAGACGATCTGGCAATACTGAGTACACAGCATTCTTAGGCGGCACCAAGTGCTCATAGCTAGGGAACAGCAGTCCTCACGGGCTGGATGTGTGCTCTCCAAGTCACCCAGTCCTTGTCATCCTTAATTACATCCCATCTGGAGACTGGGCCCGGCTGCCCTGCATCAGGGCATGTGTGCTGACGGTTTTGTGCCATATAAAAGTATTTACTATTATCTGTATTATCTTCATTTTTTAAAAAAGGGAAATGGAAGCCACACCTGGAAAAAACATATTCCTAGTGGTCCTTGTCATTCATTTAAGTCTCTTGCTTGGCCCTGCAGGCACCTGAATGTGTAAACAACAGAGCACAGCAAGTATCTCCCCCCAATACGCCCCCGTACACACACATCCCATCTGGGACATACTCTGGGACATACTGTGCCCTGGTGTTAAGTGAGTAAATCTGGAAGAAAGAAATCAAAAGTTATCACAGAAGTTAGTGGAGAACTAGACTAAGAGCATTACTTTAGCCCCATCATTGTAAGAAGGGGCTGGGATAGAAGCAAAAATGTCAAAATGTGAATACTGTCACTCTGCTTTAAGTCAGTGACTAAAACATGAAGGGTCATAAAAGTGCTTCAGGAGGTCAAGATGGGGTCAGTCTCAACCTGAGGTCCCAAAGCATATTGGTTCCCATTCCTCGACTGTCTTGGAAATGAACAAAGCACTTTAGGGAGCCAGTCATAAGGGCAGGGTGGAAAGTGACGTGGCCAATCCTGCAGGTGTACTGGGCTATTAAGAAGTGCCAAACTGGCTATAATCCCAGTGCTTCGTAAGGGCGAGGAGGGAGGATCACTTGTGGCCAGAAGTTTGAGATCAGCCTGGGCAACTTAGTAAGACTCCTGTCTCTCCAAAAAAAAAAGTAAAAATTTAAAAATTAATTGAGTGTGGTGGCATGCACCTAGTCTCAGCTACCTGGAAGGCTGGAGCTGGAGGACTATTTGAGCCAGGAGTTTGAGGCTGCAGTGAGCTGTGATTGTGCCACTGCACTGCAGCCTGGGAGACAGAGCAAGACCCTGCCTCAAAAAAAAACAAAAAACCTGCCAAACACATCCCTTAGGTCAGGTAAGTGGCACAAATGATTTTCAGTGAGGGATGCAGACTCTTGGCAGAAAGGGGCTTGAAGGTTGAAGGTGGCAGAGTCGGAATGTGGCGTTGGCAAACACAAGGCAGAGGGGGCGGGACATTGCTCGCGTCCCGTCGTCACCCTGCAGGCTTGTGCCCGTTATTTGCCCTTCAGAGTCGCAGCGATCTTGACACAGCCCAGGCGCTTCCCACCACTGCTCAGGATACTCTCCACACGGTAGTTCCCGGAGCTGAGCCAGCTGGGCAGCTCCAGGTCCGGCAAGGTGAACTCACTCTTGGGCAGCAAGTAGGTGCCCTGTGGGGAAGCCAGGGGACCATGGGTCAGTGGGGGGGCTACTGAAGGGATGACTCTTCTGGAGTCAAGAACTGCCCACCTCCCTTTCTCTTAACGCCATACAAGATTAAAGACCGCCACAGCACTGCAGAACAGGGGTTATGACGGCTCAAGGGCCCTGGAGATCACGACTGCACTCCAGTCTCCTGGATGGATAACAGAGGCCTCCAAAAGATTTAGTGATTCCAGATAGGTCACACCCATTTACATACCCAGAGACATCAGATCTGCAGAAGAATGCTAAGAGCCTTCTCTCCAACCCTCAGCTCTTGACTCTGTCCCCAGGAACAAACCTCCTCCCCCAAACAGGTACTTACTTCTTTGAAGGGGCAGTGGCAGGGAAGCCCATAGGTGTGCAGGGGCTCTGGGCAGGGCTCCCCAGGGGGAACGAGAGTGTCAAGCACGTCACAGAAGTCTTTGTAGGTACAGCTGCCAATCTGCTCCACGCATGGGATCTTGACCCAGAAGCCTGCCACCTCCTTCTCCACAGTTAGTTCCACCTGGTGAAAAAGAGGTTCAAAAATGTTACAAGTCTATGTACACTTGAGCCCAGGAATTCGAGGCTAAAATGAGTTATGATTGCACCACTGCACTCCAGCCTGGATGAGGTTACAAATGCAAATTCCAGGGCAAACATACCAGCTCCTCTGTCTCTCTTTAAAAGGTCAGCAATAGGTCAGGCGCGGTGGCTCAGCCTGTAATCCCAGGATTTTGGGAGGCCAAGGCCAGAGGACTGCCTGAGCCCAGAGGTTCAAGACCAGCCTGGGCAGCTTGGCAAGAACTTGTCTCTATAATAAATAATAGACAAAAAAATTAGCTGGGCATGGTGGTGTGCATCTGTAGTTCCAGCTACTTGGAAGGCTGATGCAGAAGAATCATCTAAGTCCAGCAGGTCAAGGCTGCGGTGTCTGTGAGCATGCCACTGCACTCCAGCCTGGGTGACAAGAATGAGACTCCAACTTAAAAAAATAAAACAAAGTAAAACAAAAGGTCAGCAATATATTTTAATCACAGAGCTTTGTGATTTTTTTTTTTGAGGACAAGGTCTTGCTATGTTGCTCAGACTGGTTTCAAACTCCTGAGTTCAAGCAATCCTCCCACCTTGGCCTCCCAAAGTGCTAGGATTACAGGTGTGAGCCATGGCACCCAGCCTTAATCACAGGATTTTTAACTAGAAGAGCTATTCTGTCCCAGGAATGACAATATTGGGGCCCACACCCAAAGACTGCATAATCCTTGCCTGTGTCTATGGCAGATATCAATGATCGAATGTGAATTTATTCCCCCTAATTGATCTACACATAGTCTTAGAACTCTTGGTGGTCGCTACCCATTGATTACAGCTAACTCTTGCTTGTTGGCTGGACTCGATGGCTCAGCCTGTAATCCCAGCACTTTGGGAGGCCGAGGCGAGTGGATTGGCTGAGCCTGCGGGTTCGAGACCAGTCTGGGCAACTTGGCAGGACCTTGTCTCTACAACAAAAATAAAAAATAGCTGGGAGTAGAAGCGTGTGTCTGTAGTTCCAGCTACTCGGAAGGCTGAGGCAGAAGGATTGCTGGAGCCCAGAAGGTTGACACTGGAGTGGGCATGAGCATGCATGCCACTGCATTCCAGCCTGGGCGAAGGAGTGAGACTACAACTCAAAAAAAAAAAAAAAAAGAAATGCATTTGCCACCTGCTAACTGGTTAACTGTGGTATTGTTTGCTGGGTTTTCCTTCTGAGTTCAGTCTTGGCCTCCGAATCCTTTTCTACGCAGGACTTCAGAGAGCTACTACCAGCTGCCTGGAGTTGGTGACCAAGATGGAACCTGCTGGCTGCTCTTGCACCCTATTTTCTATGTACAGTCACAGAAGACAGAATTAAGAACAGGCTTACATCTGTGATCCCAGCACTTTGGGAGGCGAAGATGGGAGTATCGCTTGAGCCCAGGAGTTCAAGATCAGCCAGGTCAACATAGCGAGGCCTCATCTCTATGAAAAATTGTCCCTTCCCCTCTCAGGCCCTCTGTTTCTCTATCTTGACAATGAGATATTTGGGTCTCATGATCTCAAAGAGACCTAAGTGTTCTGACACCCTGAGGTCCACTTCTTGCTGTTTGAAAAAAAATAACTTCTCCTGAACCCTACAACACAGTGCTACATACACAAAGGCTTTAAAGAAAGGCCCACTGGCAGGAAGAGACTTGAAACGCACTCATTGATTGGATTGAGGAGGGGACAATTGTACCTCTGCCACAGGCCCCAGGCAGGAGGCAATGCAAATGCATGGTTTTGGGTGGGAGAGGAATCAAGTCATCAGGCCCAAAAGACTGAAATAAATGTATATGCCAAGTATAGTGTCAAATTACAATCCCCGAGCATAGGGAAACCAGGTCCTACAAGGCTGGATCTTGCCGGAGGCGGGGCAGTAGGAATGACAAGTACACTCCCATGGAGCAGGTCAAAACAGGGAAAGGGGCACCTTGGCAGGCCCCAGTCTTGCTCATGGCTCATGGGAATCTGGGACGTCCAGCTTTTAACAACTGTGCTGCGGTTAAATCCATCCAGGTCTAGGCTGGGTACAGTGGCTCCCACCTATAATCCCAGCACTTTGGGAGGCCGAGGTGGGAGCATGAGCCCACGGGTTCGAGACCAGCCTGGGCAACTTGGCGAGACCTATTCTCTACAATAAATCAAAAAATTAGCCAGGCATGGTGGCAGGTGCCTGTAGTACCAGTTACCTGGAAGGCAGAGGCAGAAGGATCACCTGAGCCCAGCAGGTCGAGGCTGTGGTGGCGGTGAGCATGCTACTGCGCTCCAGCCTGGGTGACAAAGTAAGACTCCAACTCAAAAGTAATAATAATAAAGATAAATAAATTCATCCAGGTCCCAGAGTAGAATTTTTTTTTCTTATTAGAGACAGGTTCTTGTTCTCTGGCACAGGCTGGAATGCAGTAGTACCATCATAGCTCACTGCAGCCTCCAACTCCTGGCCTCAAGCTATCCTCCCACCATGGCCTCATCAATTGCTGGGATTACAGGCATGAGCCACTGACTTGGCTGAGACTTATGATTAATTAAAACAATTTCACCACAGCAAGAGGTCAGAGGAAGGGAGGATGGAAGTGGCTTTCTGGCTCTGTTGCTAACAGGCTATGTGGACTTGGGCCAGTAGCTTTCCTCTGGTCTCGGTGTCACAAGGGGTGGGAGCCCCATGAAACACAAAAGCCTTCCAGGTTCTACAGGGCTTGGGTCTGGGCAGCTCATATAAGGAGGTCGGTTGGACAAGGGGAACGTTTTGGAACTGAACCCACACCACTCTTCTCCGCTCCCCTGCAAGCACCAAGCATGAGATCTACCTCCTGCCAGAAAGAACTGAGAAACAGAAACCCAAGATGAGCCCTCCAGCCTTGCCCCTTGTCAACAGCTAGCTGCGGGGCCCAGGCAGGCTGCCCCTTCCCTGAGGCCCTGGCCCCAGTCCCTTTTTCTCCCCAGCAAGTGGTCACAGAAGCTTTCAGAAAATGGTTGATATGCACATACTAGGAAAAGAGGCAAGAATTGAACCAAAAATATATGCACAAGAAAAACAGGGAGGAAGGGAAGGAGCCGGGGTTCTGAGGCCAATTTTTACTAAGCACAAGTCAGAGTAAAGAGTGAATGAGGCCCAAACTTATAACAAGCAATAAAGCAACAAAAAAGGGGCTTAGGGGGCAAAATCCATCTTAATTGTCTGTGAGGAGGCTAGGAAAAGCAGAAGAGGGACCGGGCGCAGTGGCTCACACCTATAATCCCAGCACTTTGGGAGGCCAAGGTAAGAGGACTGCCTAAGCCCACATGTTCGAGACCAGCCTGGGCAACTTGACGAGACCTCATCTCTACAATAAATCAAAAAATTAGCTAGGCGTGGTAGTGTGTGCCTGTAGTTGCAGTTACTTGGAGGGCTGAGGCAGAAGGCCCCTGAGCCCAGCAGGTTGAGGCTGTGGTGGCCATGAGCGTGTCATTGTACTCCAGCCTGGGTGACAGAGACTCCAACTCAAAACAAAACAAAAAAGAAATATTTGGGGGTGGGTGGGAGTGGTCCTGGCTTTGGGTGACCTCAGGCAAGTCATAGGTCTTTCCGTACCTCCTCCCCTCATATGCAGAAGACAAATGAAAAAACCCCCTCTGAGCCCTCCCCTCAGAGCAGTGGGGAGCGCTGATGCCCGACCTGACCCTCAGCACGGCAGTAGGTAGCCCATAAATGTTTACTGAATGAGCATTGTACGTGCAACCACAAAGTCCCGTGAAAATGTCAGAAGCCAGCCGAGCACGGTGGCTTAGTCTGTAATCCCAGCACTTTGGGAGGCCGAGGCGAGAGGACTGCCTGCATCCGGGGGTTTCAGACTAGCCTGGGCAACTTGGTGAGACCTCACCTCTTCAATAAATCCAAAAATTAGCCAGGCATGGTGGCGCATGCCTGTAGTTCCAGCTACTTAGAAGGCTGAGGCGGAAGGATCACCTGAACTCAGCAGGTCGAGACTGCAGTGGATGTAAGCGTGCCACTGCACTCCAGCCTAGGTGACAGAGTGAAACTCTAACTCTCACACACACACACACACAAAGCAGAAGAGGGGGCTCCCCAGCTTCCTGCCTCCAAGTCAGCTGCCTGGCCTCAGCATTCTTGGAAACACCTGTAGTTGCAAGGCGGTGGCAGATGATTGACACGGTGGTGGGCCAGGACAGCCCACGCTTCCGGTTCAACAGAGGGGGCACGCAGTGGATTTGTGTGATCCTGGCAGAGTAGCAGTGCAGTGATCATGCACAGAGAATGATTCTTTCCCTCTGCCCAGATCGGAGGACTTGGGGCTTGACACCCTATCACTCGAGGAACAGTAAAGAAAATCCAATGACCCTATCAGGAGCAGAGCTGGAAGGGGCACTGAGGGGCTGAGAGCACATCCAGGACTTGAGTCTGGGTCAAAGAGGCTGCAGGAGGATAGTGGCTATCTGAAATGCTAACAAGTTTAACAGGTCCTGAGCATGTCCCGGGGGCCAGACCCTGTGGGGAGTACTTTCCACATTATTAATTAACTCAAGTTTGCTCAAGGGAAACCTGGAAGGGAGGGACTGTGGTTAAGTAAGGTCTTAGGGTAATTACAGAAACACAGGCTTCAAATCAGGAATCTTTTAAATAATTAAGACAAAACTGGTGCCAGAATAGATCTGGACCAAGAACAGACAAAAGAGCACATTAAAACATCCTACAAAGGTGGCAATTTAAGGTAGAGTTCAGGACTGTAATCAATGGTGCTGCAGTGGATAGAAAAAAACACTTTGCATTGGTTCTGTGCCCATAAAGAAAAAAAAGCCTTCATCGTTCTGTAAAAAAATATGAAACATCCACCCCTAGAACAGGCAATGAAGGGAAATACACCGGTAATTCCCAAGGTAAATACAGAAGCTCACTGGAGATGGCATAAACGATGGTGAAGATTTTTAGAAAATGCACAGTTGTGCACGCTTTGGCATCACATATACTAAAATTGGAACAATAAGAGAAGATTAGCATGGCCCCTGCACAAGGATGACACGCAAGTTCATGAAGTGTTCCATATTTTTATAAATTTGACTTGCTTTATCTTAAAAAAAAAAAAAAAAGGAAAGAAAACGCATAGTGTTAATAAATACATGAAAAAAAATGTGAACCTGTTGTTGCCGGTTAGGAAATAAACTGGTTCACACGTCAGGAGGCATTTTGGCAATGTAGCAAAACACCTAACACGTATGTAATTAATCAGAAAATTACAAAAAGATGCATAAGGATAATGTCTACATTGGTGTTTATAAAGCCAACAAGTAAATAAACAAAATATACAAACACTACCCTGGAAACAAACTAAATGTCCAAAAATTGATTTGTTATATAAATTAAGAACAATATAATATTTCTGCCATTAGAAATGATTAGGTAAAGGCTAGGCACCATGGCTCATGCCTGTAATCTTGGGCTTTGGGAGCCCAAGAAGGGAAGATCGCTTGAGGCCAGGAGTTTGAGACCAGTCTGGGCAATATAGCAAGACCCCATCTCAATAAAAATAAATTTTAAAATTTTGTAGGCTGGGCTCAGTGGTTCAGTCTGTAATCTCAGCACTCTGGGAGGCCAAGGCGAGAGGATAAGCCTGATCCAAGGGTTTGAGACCACCCAGGCAACTTGGCGAGACCTCGTCTCTAAAATAAATCAAAAATTAGCCAGGCATGGTGGCTTGCGCCTGTAGTTCCAGCTACTTGGAAGGCTGAGGCAGAAGGATCCTGAGTACAGCAGGTCAAGGCTGCAGTGGCCATGAGCACGCCACAGCATTCCAGCCTGGGCAGCAGGGTGAGACTCTGACTCAAAAAAATAAAATAAAATAAAATAGTGTAAATGATTAGGTCAAAAAAATTAGACAGATCTACCTAATCACTGGAAAGACGTATGAAACGTATAGAATGATGTCGAAAAAGAAGCAAGTTTAATAGCACATATCATATGATCCCCTTAGCATAAGTGTGCGTATATATACAAATTCATAAAAATTCTAACAAGATATATAGATATGTATATAGCTAGCAGCGACTCCCTTGAGGAGTCCGGTTACAGGAGGACACATACAAGGAGCACTGCTAGCCGGGCTCGGTGGCTCAGCCTGTAATCCCGCGCCTTTGGGAGCCTGAGCTGAGTGGATTGCCTGAGCCCGCGGGTTCGAGACCTGCCTGGGCAGCGAGACCTC